AAAAAAAAAAAAAAAAGAATCGTCGCGTATCGTATGTATTTGACGTATCGTATCGTGTATCGTACGATATGGTACAAAAACGATACAGAGACACGATACATATTGTTTTTCAGGTGTATCGTGACATTGTACGATACGTATCGCGTATCGTACGATACTAATAACTATGATAGCCATAGCAATAAACAAGATACTCAACCTGAGAATTTCAACCTATGTTGAAGAGCAGTGGTGCTATCCGAAGACTTAAATGAATGGTCATTGCTGTTAAGAACAACCGAAAAATGAACAATATATATTCCCATATTCGCAAGGCATTCAATAATTACAGAAACATCCCTGCCGTTTCTGTACCTCTCCTATGTTTATCGTTTATGATTAGAGACCTTCCTTCTCTGTCAAATTCAGTTATGAAAAATATTCTGATAAACTCCTAAACTTATTGGACTCGCTAAAATAAAATTTTAAGTTGAGTCATTAAAGATGATGACCAGATGTTTCTAGGATTCTCATAATCCTCAAAAAGTCACATGAACAAATAACAATTACCCAAATGAATATTATAAAAGGCATGCAAGAAGTCCACGGTTTCCATGACTTAACATATTCAGTAGTTCCCAAATATTCATAAACCAATCATCCAGGGCAATAAATATTCTCATCAACCTATCAGTACTTATATATATATTAAAAAAAAAAAAAGAGCCTTGCTGCAATAAGCAACATGGTCAGACAAGAGCGTTGGGTTGGGTTTACACTGCACCAAGACTACCTGCATTGCCAAAGCTCAAACATGAGCCAAGGGTAAATGCAAACATTATCTTTTTTTCCTGGTAAACCTCAAACCTGACCTTACCCTTTTTTGGGTGTATTGGTTTGTTCCTTCATCTGTTCAGTCAACTATTTGATTGAGTTTGAGTCTAATGAATGAATTATCTTAGAAGTAGAACAGACAAGAGACATGCAGTTAGGAATATAAAGACACCGCCTTTCACAAATGGTCAAATACAGGGAACATATACAAAAGCAGGTTAAATTAAAAGGTTACTAACCAAAAGTAAAACAATGTAACGAAGGTAAAATTGACCCCTAACTCCTCCAAAGCAGAATTCTCTTCAAAGATAACCAGTTTATCCTTTTTTTGGATAGGAACTAGAATTTTCATTTCATAGAAAGATGCAAATGTGCGTAAATGGTGGACAAGAACTTGACCCAATGGAGCAAAGGAAAAATTAATATAAACAAAAGAAACTATCAACTGCAAATGGCTTTCCATTTGTGTTGAAGAACTCATAAAGGAGTGTCACAAACTCACCAAATACTGCAACCCAAAGAGATACTAAAAACTTCACTCTATCCCGTAACAACTCCCTCTCCTCATTTCTTTCAAAGATTCTACAGTTTCTCTCCATCCACACGACCCAAAAAATGGCCGAAATAGCATATCTCCAGAATCTAGAAGCTTTTTTTACCACTCCCCCAAATCCATCAAAATGCAACACAAAAAGAGAAACACAATTGTACAGTGTGGTTCACACCAAATCCACCTCCCACAAAAGTTTATGCCACATTGAAATGATCAACAGTAGAAAGTCTAATACTCATGATAGAAATATTGCTGATTCAAAAGGAAAAATACTGCTAAGGCGCACATACTCTTCAACTTTATAAGCAATTATGGTCATCAAAAGGCAATTTTCCGGTAAATAGTTTTCTTCAATACCTATTATGAAAGACAACACTGGAGTGATCATATTCTTCAACAAAGAGATGCATTATAGTTCATGGATCACATTCCTCGCCAAGTTTTCGTAATCTTGCTCGTCCTACATAGGTTGTTCAACTTCTTTGGTCACCAAGAATGTCTTCTACTGACTCAACTCAACAAGGACTCATCCCATCTATTTGGGGTCATAAAATCCACAAAACCTACAAAATTTGATTTTCAATATGCCGCATGCAGTTGCCCATTCCCTTCCATGAAAAATAAGCAAATCAAATGTTATCCCACTCCAAAACCATTTCATACCAGGGAAGTAGTTTGCGTTGATATAATGATGAATTCCTAGCTGCATTCCCACTGCATTTGGAAAACTGCAATGGAGAGCCTGAATACCCTACAAAAGTCGCTCCAGAGGCAATCTTTTAAAAGCTCCATGCAACCCTATAAGGTATGAGAAATATAGTATAAAAGGGGGCTCTTTTCAAAAGGCTCCTAAACAACACCAAGTCATGGGGATCAAAACGAAGCTTGGAGTTAAAGAACAGAATTTTCACAACTTATTTTATAGACTGTTTGGTATGGGAGAAAAATGGGTGGATGGAAAATGGAAAATGGAAAAGAGGGAAAAGAAAGTGTTCCTTTGCTTGGTTAGAAAGGAACTAAGAAGCATGGGACACGGATACAAAATGCTATGGACATGGAATTTCTTGAAAAATAGAACACAAGCATGTAGGAGGGGTACATCACAAATCATTGAGTTTATATTTTATAGGGTAAACTTCTTTCACACCCCCCATAGTTATCCATATATTCAATGACATCCACTGTATTTTTTTGAAATTTCACTGTACCCCCTTCTAGATTTTACTATTGAATCACTTACACCCCCTTCTGTCAACAGTCGGGTCTGACAACTCTTAAAAGTGAAAATTATTACTATTTCTTCAAAATGCCGAAGATGCCCTTTACTTCACAAAACTTATAACAACTCCACCCACCAATCACAACTCTGTGACTAGTTGTAGAAGACCATTGTTGATTGTTCTTTTCTACGCTTGACCAAGAGAATAACATAGCATTGTAGTATTGTTGTCGATTATCTGAGCTTCAAATAAAGGTCAATCGCATCTCCCTAGAGAATATAATAGTTGCTAGAGAAAGTCACACCCTCACTGATAATTTTTTCTTCCTTCTCTCTCGATCGCTCATTTTGATCTAATTAGAATAATCTTGTCAACTAAACATAATTAAATTTGATTTTTTTTAAATACAAATAATTTTGTAATTTTAAGTTGTGACTCTTAATTCCATTATAGACCTATAAAATAACCGTATAATTTATTTCATAATGATCCTAAATTTTATTAAATATTAAAATAACTTTACAATTTTTGCTGCAAAATTATAAAAAAAGCTCGATATGTCCAAAATTTATTTGAATATGTCCATTTCGTGTTTGAAGCATGTCCGAAAGCTTATAGTCATTAGATATTTATACCAATTAAAATGATAGAAAAATAATATAGGGTGGGAAAATTCAAATATAATAAAAATTTGTGTACTTTTATGTAGGTAATTTTTGGGAAAAAAATTAAATTCAGGGGGACTAAGCTAGCCAGCCCATGTGTAAGGGTATTTATGTAAAATGGCCGCCTCTATTAACACCGTTAGTAGACAACTTCTGATGAGGGGTGTTAGTGAAATTTCAAAAAGATGCAAGAGGTGTCATTGAATATATGAATAACTTCAGGTAGTGTGGACGAAGTTTACCTTATTTTATATAATCTCTCGATAATATTATAATTCTCAGACTACAAAACATAAGAAAACCAATATTTTTGTTTAGCTTAATGGATCATAACAATTAATAATCATCAATTTGTTATAGATTAAGTGTTGCAAAAATATATAAATATAGTGATTATTCTCATCTTCCCAAACTATTTTCTTTGGTAAAACTTTTTTTATGTCTGTCACTTCCACTTTTTTGCTATTAGTAATACCCAGGTATGATATTTTATAGCTTCATAGTTGCAAGTCAATATTTTGCTTTTAATAGTAAATCTTAAATAAAATTTTCACCTGATTAGGCTTCATAATTATATATTCGTCTATACTATCGTCAGTCATTTATCAAATTTCAAATTTTGTTAATTACATTTTGCCACAAATTTATTTTTCAATCATAGATAGGTATTAAAGAAGTGTCCGACGATACATCATCACCGGAGTGTTGCATGCGTATCCAAAGTAAGATTTTATCTTTCAACTACATACATGACTACAAGAGTATCAAACATGTGTCCAACACAAACAAATCACCTTCTTAAGAGTATGCGTGCTTCTTTTGAAACGCAAAATGAGAGGGAAAAAAAGGGAGTTGTAAAGTAATCCACTTAGCGCACCATTTGCAATCCTCCTAATTTAGGCGGAAATAAGAGGAAAAAATGAAAAGGTTAGAGTGAGGCACAAGTAGTTTACTTTTTTACCTTCAAAATGCAAATATGTCAGTGTTCATACTTCATAGTGCATGATCTTCTCATGCCTCCAATTTTATTTTTTTTTCCACTCCTCCTCGCTTTGTTATAACATGATAAGCAATCAACCAAAAACACAAAAGGTAAGGGTGCAGTCCGCATAACTTCATTATATTTTTTTTTGCAACTTTCTTTATTTTCTGTCATATACCTACATGTATGAACATTACAATATATATGACTTTTCTTTTTACAAAAATTTAGACCAAATGACTCAAGTTGAAGTACAAATTTTTTGTAAGCAAGGGCTTTTTGATATTCACATTTACAATATTTCCCTCATTTTTTCCTCACACTTAAAAAAACAATAAAAATCTATTCTCCTACTTTTCCATCCCTCATGCCAAACAAAAAGGAGGGAAATGTTCTTTCTTTCCACCGTGGATGGAAGTCTATTCCACCTAGTTTTGCATCCCTCTTCTTTCCATCATCCCCATCAAAGGCACCATAAGTAATACTTTTAATTACATGTTATCATGCTTATTTTTGTAATTTGGAATTTATTGGGTTTTACTTATTACAATAGAAAATTTTTATTTGATTAGGAGTTTTTTTGAATATATTTTGATTAGGAGTGTTTCTATAATTGTTCTAATTAGAGTTTTATTGGAAACTAATTGAGGTTTTCGCAGGAGACTAGATTATAAATAACGATATACCCCCTTTTTCATTAGTGTGGAGTTTATTGGGAAATTGATTGAGTATTTGTGTGTTTCTTGACCTAATCCTCGAGAGGATGAGGTAGATCTCTACTTCTTCTGTTTGTTCTTCTACTTTCCGTTCTACTTCACCAAGCTTGCTATCTATGTTGCATAAACTTTTAATTACACAGTCAAGTACTTGTTGCAACGAACTGCACTAGTAAAACATTCGGTATGTTCAGTGGCTAGACTATGCTATCAGACATTTAAGTAAACAGTGAACCAAGCTACTATGTTTCCCATCTTCAGTGAGAATAAATGGTTGTTCTATTTCCTGCCTTGGAGTAGAGAATCGATGGTTTGAATACCATCACTTGACATAGTAATAGCATACTATGTTCTTACAGCCTCACCCCCTAATTTCTTCGACATGGCATGACAGTAATTCCCCCCTCCCCCTTTTATGTGACCTATCCTCGATCATTTTCTTCACCATACCTCACTACAAGACAAGCACAGTAAAAGATTCATACTAGGTTCCGAGCATCCAATAGGCTATTCAAGGAGAAAGTATAATTCCCATAAAAAATACAATTGTATTGCTATCATATAGATGAGCATGACAAACAGAACATACCTCGTATTGACTTTGTCCAGTCCTAGGACCAAAGGAACCAACAAAAGAATAGGTGACCCATCAACTTGGCCTCCTGAGAACTCAAAACAATGGCTGAGTATATCTTCGATGCATAGAACAGGAGCTCCACCTCTTTCCCCATCCTCGTCACCAGAAACAACATATATAGCCAATGGAAAGGACTGGTCATCAAGTTCAGTTTCCTCTGTCCTACAGCGGGCTAGAGTTTCCCATGTGCGACACATGGCATATGGGCCTACCCATGATCCCGGAGCAAGGTCATAAGCCTTTCCAGCTTCAAGAAGATTGTGGATGGAGAAAGCTGACTCCTCACAATCACCAAAAAGGTGCAATATGTCAATGTAATGTTGATGAACTGGCTGCATAATTAGAAATATGGCAACATTAGCATATCCAGTTGGCTATAAAACTTCATACATTTACCCATCATTTTTTATCTTCAATATTCATTGATTAAAACAATGAAAACCATAAAAAAACACACACACACACATTCTGTCCATGCATATTACCTTGTGCAAAGATTTTCTCCATGATCTCCCCAATCGTTGAAAAAGTAAAGCCTGTATGAATAATTCATTTCATTGACTAAGAACTTACTCACATACAAAACAAAATGTTCTTCTTAACCCAAAAGCAATGGTGAGCGCTCTCAATCCTCATCAGAAACAAAACTTCACAAGAGTGAAAGCAAAAGCGGAGGGGAAAAAATTATACCTGAGCAACAAGCATTTGACTACTTCGAAGCATGCAGCCCCAGTATACATCACTGCTATACTTTGAATCTCCTATATTAGCAAAGCCTGTTAATAAAATGCATAACGACCATTTATCAGCAACATCATGGTTCGCTAACATTTGCTAAACCTAACAACCCATCCAGAAAAAGGGCAGCAATTCACTAGACAAACCTTTACGATATGTTATCAGAATTCTAGATGAGAAATCTTCAACAAATGCAGCATAGCCTTCACTCTGAGCCGGATCTCCAGATGAATCTTCCAGAGAAATCTTGTAGCACACACCTAGAAGCCATATGTCACCAGCTGAGACAGAATGTCCAGTCCTGTTCAGCCCCAGTACACGCTCTTGAATTTTCCTCATTGAGCCACCACCATTCATTACTCTCTTGAAAGCTGCAGTCCATCCATTGCTCCTAGAGCTCGATGCTTTCTTTCCACAGCCTTTTGGCTCACTTAATGTTTCAAAGATTGAGAAAGCTGGCAAAGTGAAGCTCGACCACAAGGAAGACTTGGGGAGCTTACTGTCGTTTGATCCTGGCTCTGAGCAGATAGAACCAGGAATTCTATTAGGGGAACAAGCAGAGCTGTTAGAATAATACTTTGAACTAACAGTCCGCTCAAGAAAACCCTTCATAACCTAGTCATAAAGTCGCATAAGAAGACAGGACCCACTCATAGGGGCTGCCAAAGTTTTAAATTATCAGCGATCTTGAGGAAAAAGCTCCAAAAGAAACTGGCGCACCTGGAAATACATGACCAAACCAATGAAGTATATTCAACAATGACGATCACACATCAAAAAAATGATAAAAAAAAATAAAGTAGACAATAAATTGAATACCTACAGAACTCCAATTTTTCTACATTTACAAGCCTGAAAGATCCATTGATTCATGGTAATATGATGGTATCCCACACGGTTGATGAAAGAAGGCATATGACTTAACTGGGTGAATCAGTAAAACAGTTGAAGCAACACCAAGAACCAATGGAGTTTCAGGTGCTGTCAACTTTTTCTAACCTTAGAAGTGCTTCAAAAAGCAATAGAAACAATTCAACCTAAACGATAAGTGCTTTGACAAGCAGAAATCAGACTACAGAACTCTTAGGGAACCTCACTGAGAAAGTTGAAGCATCACCCATTCTTCCTTCCTCTTATTAGCAATCGTGTTGAGGCCTTTTTAACCCATCATGTTTTTCATCTGTTAGTTATATGTCTCTACAGTTAAACAAAAATTAGGATTTTGAATCTGAAATGTGGAATGTAATAATCAAAGAAGACCCGCATTTCAATCTTGCAGACTGGAGATAAGAAAGTTGTAAACAGGAAGATGTGCTTCATTTGAGTTTTATGTTCTTGATCACTTATTACAATTCATCTCAAGTTAGTGGTAGAAGGAAAAATATTCATCAATTTGTTTCCACATTCAATCAAAGCATGCCCACACTAGTAATGATGTGAATTACCTTAAGATAGAAGAAATCCATTGAATCTATGGAGATAATCTATTCATTTTATGTTTTACAAATCTAAAGAAGCCAAAAAAGAAGTGAACCTATCTACCACAACAAAGTAGTCAAAACAAAACAAAAAAAGAAGAAAACTAGTCTATCAATCCCAACCAATGAAGATTTGAAGTGGTCTATAATTTACTAAGTACTTGGTATAACTCACACATTCGTGTACAAACCAGTGCAAACGAAATAACACAAATATCTCCAGTAGTCAGTCTATTTCTATCGGTCGGCGCTCAATTAACATGGACCAAACTGAATAATAAGCATTTTTGGATAACTTATTTGTTTTATGTTTTACAAGCTTGGAGAAACCAAAGAAGTGTAACTATCCACCAGGAACAAACAAGTCAAAAAAAGAAAAAAAAAGAAAAAGAAGAACAAAAATAATCTACTTCTCATGGTTCAAAAGTATTAGCCCACTCATATTCAAATAGGCACCTTTAGTTCAAAGATTGTTTTACGATTTGCATAAACCATGAGTCTCGCACGTCTCCTACTGTCTAAAATAGCTACAAGTCAACTCTAAGTTATCCGAGTCATTGTCAGCGGTCAATATTGTTCCATAGCAACACTATATGGTCTGAATCTCTTTCCTTCAATCTAACATTTCAAGTGTATCATCCGATACAATTCCACAATGTGTCTTCGAGCCTTCCGAGTCAACGGCCAAACAAAAGAACTAGAACAATGCTACCAATTCCAACACCCTCAATTAATAGAGACCATACTACCATCGGGTTGGTGGTCCAATGGTTTGGAGTGTCCCGTTTAGTGTCTTCCCTAACACTCATGAGGTTAGCCAGAAGGATTCGATTCATAGGGGCTCGTACTGCTCCCACTGACAATTCTGTGGTAATGTGGTGTAGGGGTAAGGCTATAGTTCGAGATGGCCTTTAGAAGCGCTTGTGGGGTTCCTGCCATGTAGGCCCCATTGATGAAGTAAATATTTGGTGTAACGGTTATACCCAATAAGCATTTTCACGTGATATAGTCACCTAATGATAACTCAACAATTAGGCAAAATGAACCCCATTCCTCCAAATAATTACCTCTCCATGTAAGATAGCAACCACCACATATTCAAAAAGTGGGGTTCACTTACCCATTTGTTTGTTTATTATTGAGCGGTTACACCACGCTGACCGACTGACGTGGTGTAACCGTTACCCCCAATATTTACTCCCACCAGTGGTTTCCCTTGTCCCACCCAAGAAGGGGTTCCCCCAATTGCCCCCTCGAAACTTTTTTTCGAGTTCAAAACAAGAAATAAAAGAGACAAAACTGACTAATAACCTTTCTGTTGAAAGACAGAGAGGGTCGGCCACCTCTACTCAAGATAAAAGTGAGGACAATTTACAACTAACTCTATTGAAGCAGTCAATCCAATATTTTCTGGGACCAAACTGAGTAATGGCCTTTCTTGTTAAAAACAAAAAAGCAGATCATCTACCTTCACTGATGATAAATAAAAGCAATTTTAAGCACAATTTCTTATTAAGTTGGATGAAACAAAAAAACCAAATACTTTGAACTTGAAAAGTACATGAATTGAGCTGACTAATTTATGGCACAAAAATACGAGTTTATCTACTGTTCCTTCAAAGTTCAAATATTTCATGAAACAATTCGATAGAAAAAAGGGTAGAGCATAATTGAAAAGGGCATCAAAAGTTTGAAAATTTGACATATAGCTAGTAACAATTCAATACAAAATTAGAAATTCAAGGAATAGAAATCAACAATTGAACAGTGAAACATATGATCTTGAATCAGTATAAGAATTTATTCCATCCACACCCATATATAGCGAGCGACAGAGACACGAAGAAGTCTCTTACCAACATGGAAGACAGAGGAGAGAGGGGTCCCTTAACCGACGATGGCGAGGGACAGAAAGAGAGAGAGAGAGAGAGAGAGAGAGAGAGAGAGAGAGAGAGATGCCAAAGTTGTTTGAACTTTACACGCGAGCCCTAACTCCATCAAATCTAGAACCGGAGTTTGTCCTTGTTTCACCTGGAGAGATTCTATGCCACTCGTGCACATAGCGCGTGACAGGACGCAGAAATTTTTTGGAATTTTTTTTTTTTAGTTTGAGTTGAGTAGGTTAAACAATTAAATATTTGGATCTAACAGTATTTTTTACCAGATCTGCAACAAATAACAAAAGAAAGATCAGATCCGCACCTCACTAGAGGAGATCCAGAGATTGGGCGTCTGCTTCAGGTGGAAAGGACACCTTCTCAACCGAGGATATTTCGCCGGAGAGAGCTCTCACTCGTCGGGGTTGAAGTGAAGATGATGACTGAAGTTGAAGTCCAGGGAGACAAGGGCTTAATATCGGGGAGAGAGAAGAGAGTTCAGGCCAAGATGACGGGGAGAGAGAATAAAAAAAAAAGAGGGGGCATTTTTTACTCTCACTTAAGCGCGCAATAAATGATGCACGTGTTTTTGCTATTCTCCACGTTTTTTTTCTTCAAAACACCTTTTATATATGTTCCTTATTTTTTGGAAAAAACTAAAACAGAGTCTACCTTATTTTTTCCAAAATTGTTCCGAAAAACACTCTGTCCAAACACGTTTTAACTTGATTTTTTGTATTTGAAAAAAAAAAAACAGTTTTAGGATTACAATCCAAACATTTTTCCAAGAGATTGCATATATTTAGGTGCATGTCGACTTTATTGTGAAAATTTAGTGGTTTAATTTATGAATACAACAGTTTACACTCGTGGTGTAATTTAGGTGAATTGAGAGATCAATCATAGTTTAATTCTAAATATATAATCTTTAACTCTAATTTTAATCCTAACTCTATTTCAACCCGAGTACTGATCAGGTTTAATTCGAGCGAGTTCGGGTTAAATTTGAATTACTTAATTCGGGCTAATTTCAAGTAAAAATCAATTTGACTTGGATTATTTAATTCGGATTAATTTTTTTAAGTGTAAAATTTATTTTTTTAAGTGCAAATCTAATTTTTTCAAGTAATCTGAGATAAAGAGCGAGACGCAGATGAAAGAGAGAGAGAATGAGAGAAGAATGAATGACGAGTGAGATAGGGAGACTGAGAGTCTAAGACGACTCAAACAAGTGACGATTGATAGAGGGAGGCTGAGAGAGGAAAGAGTGACGAATGAAAAAATGATTTGAGAATGATGGAAATGCAGGGATGAAAACTTGAAGTAAAGTGAAAATTTTGACTCTAAAAAATGAAGATAAATATTAATCCTAATTAAATATATTTATATATTTTATGTATATTTGGGTTGAACCCTACAACCCGAGACCTCCACCTAAGATTTGCCCAAATTCAATTTAGATTGGAGTTTTTTTGTTCAGACCCAACCCAAATATTAAAAATTCTAACTCAAACTTTTTTTTTTAGGGTTAAGCTCAGGTTGAATTTGGGTTGGCCTATGTCAAGTTGCACCCCTAGTTTGCACCTACTATTTTACGAAAAATTAGATATTAGGATACAAATTTGGGTGGATAAATGATGCAGAATAAATGACAAAAATATTAATATTTTATTTGAATGCGGTCAATGTCATTCAATTAAGAAAAAATATGAGATTTTTTTTTGTATTTCTTATTTTTATTAGGAAACTATATTTTATTATTTACTAGTTTAAGTAAAATTTTATTTTATTTTAATTTTTAATTTATTTAGGATTTTAATTTCTTAGTTGTTTTAGATTTTTATTACTATTTAAAGTCTGGTAAATCATAGGACAAAATAATTTTTTATCGTCGAATACAATTAAGAGAATTGTCTCTTTTCTTTTCAATTATTTTAGTATTCTCAGGAATCAATAGAGTTATTGAAACCTTTAGGATTGATATTATTTGTGAATCAACAAACCTAGAATAGGAATTTAAATCGGTATTTGTATACAAATCAACGATTTATTTTCATTTTTCCTTTTCGTTTGTTATACTTTTCTTTTTATCCTCTTCCATACATTAATAAGTGTTATTTAGAACAATAGTAATGTTATAAAATACTTAATTAGAGATTTAATTTAATGCAGTCATTGAATTAAATATGAGTTTCAACACATATGAAACTCACTTAAAATTTAATAACTATAATTGATTAATTCCCAATATTAATAA